AGTATCTATTCCAAGCTGACCAGCCAAGATTACGAAGGAACCCATGTACTATCCCAGTACAACTACAGCTTCTGGAGTTCTTTTTTTTCGTTCTTCCTCCTACGTTCAGCTTCTATCCCTCAGGTGTAAGGTGAATAACTACCGGTAACTATGATCTCCTCCTACTTCAATCTTTTATTATATTGCTGAAAGCTAATTGGTAGCTGGTTGTTGTATAAGATTCTACCCTTGATTACGGCATTGAGCTACTCGGTTATAAGGGTTAGTGATGGGATAGACTGGAGTTGGTGATGTCAAAGCCTTTTACCCCTTCTAGCATCATACCTTTCGAATTAAATCATTTTTTTCCTCTCACGGTCATGAGCACGGGGACCTCAAATCGATATCCATCCTATCATTGACATGCACCCCCGAGTATTTCATTTAATATCTGTTGCAAAATATTTAGTATGACGACTCGGAGCGAAGTTGATAATTTTTCAGATGATGGAGAGGTGGAGTATGAAATACCGGGAGAGGGAGAGAGAAGAAGTGAGTTTGATAGGATGTTGGATTGGGATACAGTAGGAGGAGCAGTAGAGGAAGGAATCAACATGCGAGATGATGAAAACAACGATTTGGTCTGGTTAGGTGACAGTGGTACCGATACAAATTGTTACAATAATTCAGATGAAGATCAAGAGGCTGTGGAGGATGAGAATGAAGATGAAGATGAAGATGAAGATGAGGAGACGAGCATGAATTGCGAGCCACTTCCTAGGATTGATCCATCAGAGTTACATTTACCTGCTCCACCACAGTTTGAACCAGTCTCCCATCCAGCACTACCGCATACAAGGAAGATATCTCTTCCACTCGACGTTTTCTCAGCAGGACTTTGTTTAGAAAATATGGAAGGTATCTCTATACAGCCAGAGGGCCAGAGAGTGGAAAGACAGGAAGGAATTTTGGCAGGTGGTAGTAGTCAACAAGAGCGTGAAGGAATAGGAAGAGATAATCAAGAGCAATGGGGTATTGGGTGGGACACATCAGGTCAATTTTTTAAGCTTTTCTTTACCGATAGCATTCTGGAAGCTATGCGGCAAAATATCAATAGTTATGCTACAATGAAAGGTGCTGGAATGCCCGGTCATCGAAGATGGAAGGAAATGACTATTTTGGAGTTGAAGATCTTTCTCAGCTTGGTAACTTATATGGGAGTTTTCAAGAGTGCAAGAGTGCAAGACTATTGGCGAAATGATGGTACCTTTCCTCAACATAATATTGCACGCTTTATGGGACATTTTCGATTTGAGCAACTGAAGCGCTACTTTCATATTTCTCCACCGATTTCAACTCCACTTCCTCGAACTCAATGGACAGAAAAATTAGAACCACTGAGTAGTAGCCTTCAGACGAAATTTCAGCAGCTGTGTTGTCCAGCTACATCGGTATCGATCGATGAAATGATGATTAGGTTTACCGGTCGTTCTGAGTATAAGTCTCTTATTAAATCAAAACCAACACCAGAGGGGTTTAAGATTATTGCCTTATGTGACAAAGGCTATACATTCTCATTTCTCTATACCTCTCGTACCCAATCTTTTACCGGCTTGACATATCCTTCACAATTTTAGGAATGTACTCATTCAGGTATATAATCTTGTAATTCAACTGCGAGTTATTTAAAATTATATCTAATTTCACTATACTAGGTTCCGAGTCGGATAATTCCACCAGCTATCAGCAGACTATTTCCCTTCGACCAACCTCACGAGCAGTGATTCAACTTTGTCTTACTTTACTCTATAGAAGCCATCGATATATTCTCTATTGCGACAACTATTTCTCGAATATTCCTCTCTTTCATATTTTGCGATCCTATAGTATTGGTGCCTGTGGAACTGCCTGTCCTCACTCTGCTGAGTATCCTTCTATTTTCAAGCTAAAAAAACAAGCATCTCAGTTACCATGGAATACTATTTCTGCAGTAGTTGTTAGGGATGTACTAGCTGTTTTATGGCAGGATAAAACACTAGTATGATTTTTAACTACTGCTTTTGGTGCAGACCCAGCCTTGCCCGGAAATATTGAAATACGCCGTAGAAGGCACCCGCATATCACTTCAGCAAATAGGGATCTAATTGAGGGTGGCTGGCCAACAGATCCAGTTACTGGTATTGCTCCTACCTCAAGAGTACTTCCCCTTCCTGTCTTATCTACGCAATATGATTTACATATAGGTGGTGTTGATATTGCGGATCAGAGAAGAAGTTACTACTGTATTCAGTTTTCTTGTGTCCGCTATTGGCTCTCTCTCTTCTTTTGGCTTATTGATACTACTGTGGTTAATTCACACCTCCTCGCACAAGAAGCATTTCCAAATACTTGGATGAAGTTTATTAAAGAGCATCGTGACTTTCGTGTTTGTTTGGCATGGAATTTGGTTCTTGAGGGTGCAAGAGATAAGGACAAAAATTGGACTGAATCTTTTTGCAATACTCAGCAGCCACGACGTAAAGGAGGACAGTTTAATCCCTGCTCGGTTCAAGCTGGCAATTGTCATTTGGCCCGCAGCAAGGGATATGTCTCCAAATATTCGAAACTTCCAACCTTTCGAATGATTCAGGGAAATCATCAATTGGTTAGAACCGAACCTCTTACTCGGCGTCTCTACTTTTTCTGCCACTTTATTGAGCAACAAAAGCAAAGTCCTTCCCTTCTTGAAAAGGTTCGGCTACTTGGCCGACTACCAAGTGCTTCTGGAACTGTATGGCATACCCGTTTTCAATGTTCTTTTTGTAAATTGCCTCTTTGTGATGAGTCTTGCTTCCACTGTTTCTATGCAGTCTAAAGCACATTTTTCATTCATGCTCTGAGTTTCTCACTATCCTTCTCACTTTTTTTCTATCTATTCTAATTTTTTATTCCTGGATCCTGTATACTTTACAAATTGAATTCATTCTGGTTTATCTACTTGGACCTTTGTGGCTCCTAGAGTGAACTGTTTAATCATACTCTTTTAGGCACCACACCATATTCTAGCTTCACGCTAAATGCAAACTAAAACAGGTGTGCCTGGGCGTGAAAAACGGGAACGAACGAAGGGATAGCTAGGGCAGTATAAATTTACCAGTACTTGAGTAAGGAAAGCTGGATCTATCCTTAAAATGCTCAGAAATCCGGCCCTGTTTAAAGTCTTGAACACTAGCCTATATGAGTAATTGTGATAGGAAACACTCTGCGGATCCCAAGTGGAGTAGTGCTCAGCATGTAGCGAAGTTCGTAAAAATCAACCTGGCGATGACGGAAACAGGAGGGTCTGTGTAAATTTAATCCCGCTTATGTCTTAGCGTTTCAAGAAATACTACTGTAGTGCTCGAGTATGATACGACTTACAGCTGCATCCTCGGTTGCTCCTCCTGCTTCTCTGCTGGTAGTGCATTAGCGCCAGTGTTTGAAAACGGTTTAAGGGATGGCAAGCCTGGGCCCACCGATATCCTAACTGAAAAAAAAAATCCCCTATTAAAAAAATTCACTAAGGATAAATCGTGTGAAAGCTTTCAGATTTTTTTTCCATACGAATGGGACAGATTAGTACCGGAATCCATTCTTGCTTTGCGGCCCGCTTACCCGGTAGGACTCTGGTCGAAGCGAACTGGAGATACAGGTAGGCTGAATCGAACTGAACCCTAACTACGGTACCTCAAATACCTCCCACTTTCCGTATGAAGCAGCTCAAGACCGGCAGAAATATTACCACCGGTAGTACTGTGAATTTCCAATACTTGGCTGATTTCTAAGGATTTCTTGAATTCCTTGATAAATCAATCAATTTGAGTGATGGCCACTCAGGGCTCCTCCTCTTTGCTTGGCGTTTTTTGACCTGTTTTTGCTTACAAGACAGCTCGACTAGCGCTAGCCTGCCATCGGAGTGATAAGAAATTAATTGGTAGAGGGGGATGGGGAGAGTGAGGCTGAACTCATTGTCTGCAACTTTTGGTACCGTATTTAGGAGTGCCGGTATCCCAGAGACCACACAAGGACGCTTGCGAAACGAATAGTGGGTTAGATCGTGCATGGGATTTAATGGCACCCCCTTTTTCCGACATAGGTTAGGCATATGACAACGACATTCTGGGTAGATCATAGACGAGCCGCACAGCGGAATTCGATAAAGGATGTACGGTACTTGAATACAGTAGTAGTATGGCCCTAAAAGAGAGAGACGGGACTTTTAAACACTGTCCTGGAGTACAGTACGACATTGCTCAGCCAGGGGAGGGGGGTCGGAAAAATTTGTTGCAATGTTAGGTTCCTTGGCAGGGGATTCGCTGTATTGCTTGGAGATTAGGTGTATTCTAGCTCTTTACCGGTAGTACCGGTACTCGGGTATGGACGTGGGATACCGGACAGCTAGGGATTACAGGTGTCAAAGCTTCTTGCTTGTTCGAGCAATTCTCATGCCAGACTCATTCCTTTATTTCCTATGAGGGCAAGGACGGTCAGGCCTCTAGAATCTCTGGCTGTCCGGTATCCCACGTCCACACCCGAGTACATGGGCATCCATTGGTGGGACACTCTGGGACTGCAAGAATTTCTATCGCCGGGCACGCCCCCTCCCCCCCTGAGTTCCTTCGAAAGCCAAAAAGGATAACTTAGCACTTATGGTTGGGATTACTTGGATACATCTCCTCGTGAAAACCTCATGCTTTTCTCCACCGGCACCATGAGACGTTGTCTAGCAGTTATGGAAGTCAAGCTCCGCTTGATTAATGGCCCTCTCGAGGAGCGCTGGCACCGACACGACGCACAGAGGGCCGGGAGTGGCCCCCCAGGTGAATAGTGAACCAGTGTTGCCGATGTGTGTGAGGTCAGCATCTAAACTAGAACCTGACCTGGAAGTAATCCTGGAGTCGCAGAATGATTTCAATTTAGGACTGGAGGCTGAGTGACGTTGGTGTTTAGCAGAGAGGCTGAGGAGGTATAACGCTGATTCCCCCAAAGGTCAGATTCGTATTGGCGACAAGAGTGGCATCGAAGAACACGGTAGCGGAGAAAATCCGAGGCAATCGTTCATTCCCGATACGATACCATACCGTACGATACTACCGGTGCCGCACTCCTGCCCAGCGTGCAATTCATTAGAAAGTCTCAACGATCCGATATCAAACGGGTCGATAGAAGAAATGCGAAGAGAATGTGGCGAGATGATCGCGCTCTTGGATCCCGGGTTGCTTTCCGGGATGTTGGGAGAGGTACCGTATGTCTCATGTTAGTAATGAGGCCTCCCCAGGTCATTGGATGGCGATGGTCTGACAGGCCAGATCGCCTCATTTTCTTCAGCGACCAGTACTGGACCTCGACCTCGTGAAGGATTCTGGATCGGTCTCCGAATTTTTGGAAACCCTCGACACCCCTACAAATTCCTGTGCTATTTCTGCATTCAAGCGACACTGAGGACGCAGTATCAGGGCCTGGAATACAGACATGCAATCAGTCAACTTTGGGGACGGCAATGCCCACTGCGGCAACATAACAGGTAGTTTCAATATCTATAAGTCCGATGAGGATGCACGGATTCTGCGCTGGCTCTCGCCACTCGAGCCGAACCACAGACATCAGGGCGTGCGCAACGATCGATATGATGGTGTCGGAGATTGGTTTTTGGAAATAAGCGAGTTTCGGGAGTGGAGAAGTAGCGAGGGTGGAGGCGATGGGGCAGTCTTGTTTTGCAGCGGGAATCCCGGAGTGGGAAAAACTTGTCTGAGGTAGGTTCAGAGGTTCTTCGAGGGAAGTGAATGCGGCTGACAGCTAGAAATACTAGTTCTCTAGTGATCGACCAGTTGTGCGATCAGGCAAAGAAGAAAGATATCGCGGTTGCCTGCTTCTACTGCGACTATAAAGCCCAGCAAGAGCAGACCACCACCAGCATGGTGGGGGCGATTCTAAAACAGCTGGTAGGGAGAAGGGACATCCCGGATTATGTACGCGGGGCGTTCCAAGAAGCGAAGAAGGAGATTGGGGGTAGAGGGCTGCGACTTGCTGATCTGATGGGAATGCTGAGAATCGCCATTGCTTCGATACACCAGGCCTTTATCTGTATAGATGCCTTGGACGAATGCTTACCGCAGCATCTTCCAGAACTCCTTGAATCGCTAAGGGATATTGTTCGGGAGTCACCAGGGGTGCGGGTATTCCTCACCGGGAGGCCCCACATAAAAGAAGAGATTCAAAGATATTTCTCCCAAGCGGTTGTGGTACCCGTCAGTCCCAACAAAGATGATATTAGGAGCTATGTCGAGCGGAGGCTAGACCGGGATGCCGAACACGAGGCAATGAACGAGGAATTGAGGGTCGATATTGTTAGAACTATCGTCGAAAAGATATCGGATATGTGGGTAGCAGCATTTAGAATTCCCCCCCCCTTCAATGATGTGTACTGAGTAGCGACCACGTGTAGATTTTTACTTGTTTCTCTAAATATGGATGCCATTCTGGGAGAGGTGACCATTCATCAGAGAAGAAAGAAGTTGGAAGAGATGGAAAAAGGTAGCGGGCTAAGCGACGCCTACACGGCAACACTAGCCCGACTAAAAGCGCAGAAGGGAAACAAATCAGTACTCGGATTGAAGGTCCTGATGTGGGTGTTGTATTCACGACGACCATTAAAAGCGGAGGAGCTCCGTCACGCTTTAGGGGTGGAGTTAGGAACTACCGACCTTGTTGCCGAAAACGTTCCTGCCCTACGGACACTCGTCGCGGCTTGCCTGGGTCTGGTCACGGTGGAAGCGTCTTCGTCCACTGTCCGACTCGTGCACTTTACACTGCAAGAACATCTCACGAATGATCCCACCCTATTCCCTACTCCGCACGCGGCAATTGCCGAGATTTGCTTGACATACCTCGGTTTTCGAAGTGTCCGTGATCTTCCGCCGACCCTTGACTCGGCCCCATCAACAATGCCCCTTCTGGGGTATGCCGCTTGCTTCTGGGGGGAGCATTCAGCGAAGGGTATTACGGACGATGTGAAAAATCTTGCGCTAAGGCTCCTCGATGGATTTGATAAGCATGTAGCTGCTCAGCTACTGTTATTGCGCGGGAATAACTATAGACGCAGCACCGGTGATTTTACCGGGGAGGGTGGACCTAAGGGATTTACCGGGCTCCACTGTGTAGCATTTCTCGGGCTTGGGGAGATCGCTGCCTCTGTATTGGCTGCGAAGGAGTGGGATATTAACGTAACTGACGGCATGGGTCTCACTGCTCTCATATGGGCAGCTATCCGAGGAATGGAGGAGGTCGTAAAGCTGCTGTTGGAACAAGAGGCTGTCAATCCAGATAAGGTAGACACCGCACATGGCCGATCCCCACTCTCGTGGGCAGCTCAGCACGGGAGTGAGGGGGTAGTGAAGATACTTTTGCAACGAGAAGATGTTAATCCCGGTCTAGTAGATCGTTACGGTTATAGCCCGCTCTCAATGGCGGCAAGGAAGGGGCATGAGGGGGTAGTAAAGATGGTTTTGGAACGAAAGGATGTCAATCCGGACCAGGCAGACACCGCATACGGCCGGACGCCTCTCTCGTGGGCGGCTTCGAGAGGGCATGAGGGGGTAGTAAAGATGCTTTTGGAACGAAAG